AGGTTGGCCCAGGGTCGGACATTGTTTCTTTCTCCTGTACATAAGGTCGCTATGAGTCGGTGCCGACTCGATGGCACCTAAGAACAACAACAATTTAGTTTCCTAAAACAAATGTGGCTGATATGAATCAAGCTGTTTCTGTTTGGAACCACTCTGTACAGATCATTACCATAGCATCAATTTGAAAGAATGGAAACAAATCGCATTGATATAGGTCTGATTTGGATGTCATGTGCTACAGTGGGAAATCATGACCTACTCTGCCCTACTACCATGAATGTTCTATTGATTCTGACAGCAAAGAAGACTTTAGCTCCCAGAAAACAAAAAAGAAAAAAAGATGGAAGGATTACACAGTCACTGTACCAAAAGGAAATGGTTGATGTTCAACTGTTTCAGGAGGCAGCATCTGATTGATCAAGAGCCAATGATACTGAAGGAAGAAGTCCAAGGTGTATTGAAGGAATTGGCAAAGAACAAGGCACCAGGAATTGAGGGAATAAAAATGAAATGTGTCATGAAAGTGAGGTGGCACTGGAGGAACTCACTCATCTACGCCAAGAAATTTTGAAGACAACTGTCTGGCCAACTGATTGGAAGAGATTGTATTTGTGCCCATTCCAAAGAAAGATGACCCAACGGAATGCGGAAATCATAAATCATCGGACAATCTCTTTGATAGCCCATGTGAGTAAAGTTTTACTAAAGGTAATACAGAAATGGCTACACGCGTACATTGACAGAGAACTTCTAGAGGTTCAAGTCGGATTCAGAAGAGGCTGTGGAATGAGGAATATCATTGCTGATGTCCGATGGATTTTGGCTGAAAGCAGAGAATATCAGAAAGATGTTTACCTGTGCTTTATTGACTATGCAAAGGTTTTGAATCATGATAAGTTATGGACAACATTGCAAAGTTTGAGTATTCCGGAACACTTAATTGTAGTTGTTCGAACAGAATATGGGAACACCGAATGGTTTAAAATTATGAAAGGTGTGCGACAGGGTTGTATTCTTTCACCATATTTATTCAACCTGTATGCTAAGCAAATAATCCGAGAAGCTGGATTCTATGAAGAAAAACATGGCACAAGATTAGAGGAAGACTCATTAACAACCTGTGATACGCAGATGATACAACCTTGCTTGCTGAAAATGAAGAGGACGTAAAGTAATTACTGATGAAGATCAAAGACTACAGCCTTCGGTATGGATTGCATGTCAGTGTAAAGAAAACAAAAATCCTCACCACTGGACCAATAAACAACATTCTTGGCAATGGAGAGAAAATTGAAGTTGTCAAAGACTTCATTTTTCTTGGATTACCCATCAACACTCATGGAAGCAGCAGCCAAGAAATCAAGTGATGTATTGCAAAAGCAAATCTGCTGCACAAGACCTTGTTAAAGTATTGAAAAACAAAGAAGTCAACTTGAGGACTAACATATGCCTGACACAAGCTATGGTATTTCCAATAACCTCAATGCCTGTGAAAGTTGCACAGTGAATAAGGAAGACTGTAGAAGAATTGATGCATTTGAGTTACGGTGTTAGAGGAGAATATTGAGAAGTACCATGGGCTACCAAAAGAGCAAACAGATCTGTGTTAGACGAAGTACAGCCAGAGTGCTCCTTGGAGGCCAGGATGGGCACGCTTTGTCTTATACTTTGGACATACTGTCAGGATGCATCAGTGGCTGGAGAAAGATATCATATTTGGTTAAGTGATGGTTCAGAGAAAAAGAGGAAGACCTCCAGCGAGATGGATTGGCAAAGTGGTAGCATCAGTGGACTCAAGTGTGGCAACAATTGTGAGGTTGGCCCAGGACCAGGCAGTGTGTCATTCTGTTGTGCACAGGGTTGCGATGAGTTGGTACCAACTTGATGGCACCTAACATTTCCTACACTGCAGAGCACCCAAAAGCATGTTTCCACCATTAAATAAATTTCAGTTGCTTGTTATGACTTTCAGATTTTCTTTTAGAACAGAATAATGTTACTCATTAATATCTGTTTAGGTTAAAAGTCATTTCTGAACGTAATTTATACTGACCATTGTAATTTTAAAATGAAAACTCCATCTGTAAGAATTAACATAAAGATATAATAACCTAGAAGCTGCCAGTTGAAACTCTGCATTTTCTGCGTCCTGCAGAGGAAAGGGGAACAGAGCAGTGAGATGTCTAATGGGTTTTTGTTATCTATTACATACAGCAAGGTAGGTATATATGACTTGCCCTCTTTTCTCTATAAATGCTACTTCCCTCTGAAGCTATTAGACAAAGACTATTAATGAAAGTACTAACATTATTCTTTGAGTTTCTGGTTATTCAGAGACGTGCCTCCTTTCTTTTCTGTTCTTTCTTTACTGTAACCATCAATTAACAAGCTCCAGCTCAAATGGGGGAAATTCCTACTCTTTGTGAGTCATAAAAAATTGTAGAAAATGGTTAATCGTAGAAGAAAATATATGCTTACATTTCTATGGAATTTTAAAATAAATTTCACTAAATCATATATAATATTATAGGAAAAACAAGTTCCGTATTTGTAAGATTAAATAAAAACTTTTACAGAGGTTGGGAGAAAAATGACTATAATAATCCTCAAATATAAATCTGTATTCTAAATCACTAAAAAAATGTTCTCTCAATGACACAAGATCTCCACTGCAGGCATTTGTACTTTCTATACCAGGGGCTGCTCTGTGGATCACTAAACCATGTGAAAAAAATAATATTGTTAAATGCCATCAAGTCAGTTCTGGCTTATAGTGACCTGTACAAGGTTTCCAAGGCATGGTTGGTGGGTATGAACTGTCGATCTAGTGGTTAGCAGTCCAGTGCTTAATCCTATGGCACCATACCATTACTCAAAATTTTAAAACCTAATACAGTAAAAGTTCCAAAAACTAAGATGATATGCCTTATTTATTTGTTTTTGTTTTGTGCCGTGGAGTCAATTCCGACTCATAGCGACCCTGTACAGGGTTATCGAGGGTGTAAATCTTTTACGGGAGCAGAAAGCCTCATCTTTCTCCCGAGGAACAGCTGGTAGTTTCGAACTGCTGACTGTGAGATTAGCAGCCTGATTTGTAACCACTATGTTACCACAGCTCCTTATGCCTTATTTATTTATATTTAAGGCATTGTAATTAAATGCCTTATTATGTTGTTGTTGCAATTATAGATAACCATAAAACATCTTCACCACTAGACAAACAACATCCATATAAATGGTGAAAAGATTGACGTTGTCAAAGACTTCATTTTGCTTGGATCAACCATCAACACTCATGGAAGCAACAGTCAAGAAATCAAACTGCATACTGAATTAGGCAAATCTGCTGCTCAAGATACTTTTAAAGTGTTGAAGAGCAAAGATGTCAGTTTGAGGAGTAAGGTCAACCTGGATCCAAGCCATGGTATTTTCAATAACCTCATATGCATGTGAAAGTTGGACAGTCAGTTATGAAGACCGAAGGAGAACTGATACATTTGAGTTATGATGTTGGAGGGGAATATTAACAGTACCATGGACTGCCAAAAGAACAAACCACTCTGTGTTGGAAGAAATATAGCCAGAATGCTCTTTGTAAGCCAGGATGGCCAGACTTCGTCTCTCATACTTTGTACATATTTTTAAAAGGAATAAGTCCCTGGAGAAGGATATAATATCTGGTAAAATGAAGATTGAAGAGTTGGGGAGAAACAGGAAGGGCCCCAACAAGATGGATTACCAAAGTGGTAGCAGCAATGGGCTCAGGATTGGCAATGGCTGTGAGGTTGGCGTGGGACCAGGCAGTGTATCATTCTGTTGTGCATAGCATCACTATCAATGGCACCTAACAATAACAACAATATAACAGCATACAGAGCTACTACATTTTAAATTCTTGCCTATTATTCAATGTTTCTACTTGCAAAGATGGAAAATCTTTTGGTTAACAATTATAAAGCAAAATATAGGTTTTTAAAGTACATACATGGATTCTGAACGTTATTACCAAACCTTGTGTTCTTTTTAAATTTAACTACAAAGTCAGTGGCAGGAGAAAAACCATCTTAAAAAATAAACAGGAAACTCATGAAGCATTCTCTATGGTGTTCTCTAGAGAAGGAAAACATTTTGGCAAATGCTTTTTTTCCTCATACACAGGCAGAGTAATTTAGGCTGCTCCCCTGGTATGTCACCAACATGGCTGACATTACTTGTGTTTCTTCTTGTGAGGCTCAGAAATAGCAGAGTAAACAGCAGGGACAATGAAAATGAAACCTATCTCTCTGGAGATTACTTGGAGAGAAAGAATTTTATTAATCAGCTCCAGGGAAGCAGTAAGAATAGAGAAGCCTAATGTCCAAGGCTAAATGATATAGAATGGAAAGGAGTTCAAACTGGCCAGAAAAGGAGGCAGAGAGGTTCAAAGAGAGAAAGTGCGTACAAATTCAGAGAGGAATATATGTGATCTTCCCCAGGATAAAACAAACTACATATACTCATATATTTCAAGTCTAAGTAAATTACAGTTAACACCATGAAGAACATTATACTACATATCAAATAAGAGACTAGTAAGTAATTTCGCTCTCTACGGAGTCCTGGTATGGCCCCTGTAGGATAAGCAATGGACTGTTAACTGCAAGGTCTGCAGTTAAAATCCACCAGCCACTCCTTGGAAGCCCTATACAAGGTGGCTATGAGTTGGAACAACTTGACGGCACTTAACAACAACATAGCATCTGTTACTGTGTGTTTGTTATACAAAGAAGATTCAATGTCTGGAAAAATACTAACCCAATCAACTAAAATAGTAATAAAACAAACACTTGACTTTGAAAAGGAAAACTCCCTGGTAAAAGAAAAGTAACAACTTCAATTAAGTTTTTGTTCTTTAAGAAATAAATTTTTCTTAAACCTCTGGGATTAAAATATAATAATTTTACATAACTGTAGCATTACTGACATTCAAAGTAGTCTAGTATTGTTTCTTATCAACTTACATCAAAAAGATGCTGTAAGGGATTGGATTGGAGTTTTTCTTCATAGCCAAACAGCTGAAAGCCAGTTCCCAGAAGACCTACCATAAAAATTAATAAAGAAAAGATTGTAATATGGAATAGTAGAAAAGAAGAAACAGGTATAGTTCTATAGAAAGATTAAATCTCATTATTATGTGACCTGAGAACTTTGCCAAAACACAGGCAATTTACTTCCTGTTACCCCACACACAAACACAAGTCAATATATGGTGGTGGTCATTATTGTTAAGTGCTGCCAAGTCAGTTCCCACTCATAGTGTATTGGGTTTCCAAGGAGTGGCTAGTGGTTTTGAACTGCCAACCTTGTGGATAGCATCATACCAGGACTCCAATATACTGTACACAAATGAAATTAATTTCATAGTAACCTACAGACTATGTGCTCATCAAAAGCAGGGTCAAGGACTACTTCATCTTTGTACCAATGGATACCAATACCTTTCTAGGAGACATTAATAAAATCACCATTAATTGAGTAGCTACTCTGCAAAAGGACATCATGTAAGACACCGCACACTCAAAATACGTGAACATAAGCTGATGGTTTCAAACCTTTTAAAATTTGTAGGTGTCAAAACAAAATAAGATTAGAAATGGGTTAAAGTTGTTGTTGTTAAGTGCCGTCGAGTCGGTTGCGACCCTGTATAGGGTTTCCAAGGAGCAGCTGGTGAGTTTGAACTACCAACCTTGCATTCAAAATTAGCCCTTTTTAAAGGAAAGAAAAAGCATATAACTTAAAAGATCCCTGGTTACTTCTCCATTCAAAGTGACCAAAGAAAATTTTTAGCTTATTTGGTCATATCTGTTGTCATTTGCTTGTCAATTTTATTTTTTCAGTCTTTGATTATCAGTTCAGAGTTCAAGGATAATGTCAACACCAATGTATTTTCAATACTAAATAAGGTTTTAGAACCAGCAGTGAAATATCCTAGTATGCATTGAAATATTTATACTCTCAAGATATTTTGCTAAAACATAATTATAGTTTTAAAGACTATATGTACCCAGGGATCAAGAGCAACAATAGGTCATTTTATTACTTGAAAAACCAATCTGTTTGAAAGCTTGTAAGCCAGTCTTCAGCTTGTAATTGACTGGAATACCTAAAAGGGGTTCTAGAACTTGCCAAGTGAAAATAGGCTTCCTGTGAAGCCTTTGTAGTGTATAGGACCTTAGGTGGAATCCTGAGCCCCATCCAGGACCTTTTGAAGTGGGACATTCCCACTTTAAAAGACAAGCAGACCAGCCTGGAACAGCTAGAGGAACAGACATACTTCTTGAAATAAAGACAAGCAGGAAAAATCCAAAACAAAAATGGCAGTCTGATTGCTAATACAAGAACAAACAAGTTGTTGACCTGGGAGCAATCAAGACAAGCAATCAAGTCCCTGCAGGACAAACCTCACTCCAAGACTGAAACTCAAAGGGAACACATGAGTAGGCATGTAAGCTTGCTGTCAACCACACTGGTCTCCTGGTGTGTGAAAGAAGGGGAAAGGCAGCAATGAAGATATGGGCCAAGTCTGACCACGTTCCATAGACTCCTGTTGATCTGGAGATGAGAGAGAGAAGAGGAAGGGCTAGTTGGTCCAAAGTGTAGTGAGACCTGGGGGGCTCAGTCCTGAGCCCATGGACAATGACATAGCCATGGACGGCTAGAGCTGAAAGTGAAGCGTCCAGCTGATATGAGGTGAGGGGAGACTCACAAGAACACCCAAACTTGCAGATAGTACTCATTTGACCTCAATGGCTTGATGATTAGAACTGACTAGAGGAAGATAAAAAAATTATTTGATAAAGGAAACAAGTGTAAATTGCTATAATATGATGAACTTGACCTATACTTATGGATGTAGTAGCTTAAAATACCAACCAACAGGGAAAGAATCTTCATATCAAATATCAATCCTATCCCCTCTAAATACAGGGTTGACAGGGATGGGCAACTTACACATTGGCTACCTAAAACGTGGGGGCTATAAAGACATGAAATGACTCGCTTACAAGTTTTCAAGAGGGAGTTTAGTTTCATAGTGTGGGGGGGGGAAGGTAGAATCCCCACTGAATAGTTTTCATCTTGTCTAAATGGGTCTGGTGAAAAGATATGGGGATAAGATTCTTATGATTCAATAGTGAGTAGTTGTTATCATGGCTAATTGCAATTCTAATTGTACAAGTTTTGTAACAAAAAGGGGGAAGTCCAGGAACAGAGGACCCTAGGACCATCAAGAGATAAGAGCACGAGCAGAATGTGGGACCTTATCCAGAGAAGCAGGGACACCAGAGATGGAGGCAGAAATGAGGATATGGAGAAATATAGCAGGTGAGGACTCTAGAGTCATGTAAAGAGAAGAGCTGTGTATTGGCGGTCAGGAGGCAGGTTTGCAGAATGTGCCCTTTGGTTGTTTAGATGATTATGTATTCCTGAGTATTTTTGTGTACATCCCCCAAAACCCTGCCCCCCCCCTAAAAAAAACCAGAGGCAATAGAGGCAAAAATACTGTTGAGTGATGATGCATGGAGGACATTGTAATCATTGCAATGAAATGATGAGTGTAAAACTGAGATTCTCAAATGTAAACTATCACTCAATTCACAATAAAAACTTAAAAAAAACAACAATCTGTTTGTACAACTATACCAATTACCAAGCTTCACTTCCAAAGGAGCTGCTACTAGTGGGCCTTGCTGAGGTACACTTATCCACACAAAAGCTCAGTAGAAAAGGGGATGCTACTGAACAGAGGTTATACAATATTCTGGAATTTAGATAGCAACTAGAAGTACTACTAAAGTATATACCAATTTTATTCACTTTCCAGCAGGACCAAATGTGATTATGATTTAGGACCTTGGAAGCAGGGTGTGGAAAAATGCCCAACAGGCTTGACAAAACAAAAATAGAAAAAGTAAAGCTAATTCCATTTAACTTTCAATCTAATACATTTTCAAAAACTAATTTTGTTCTTAGGAACTGTCTGCCAACTTTCAGTAGTGGATAGCATTTGAAACAGCCAAAATTAAAACTCTCCAGTAATGATGGTTATAATGGAAATGTTGACAGGTCATTAACCACAGTCGTCCTTTGGAGAAAAACCACTATAATAAAATCCTGCAGCTAAAATTTAATGAATACCATAATCACACATTTGCTAATGCCTATGAAATGTCAAAATCAGTCAAACTAATATAAAGTAGATGGCATCTATTAAAGTTAGACTGTCAAGTCTAGAGCCTAAACCTCTGACTACCAGCTGCTTAGAACTGCAGGTGGATTAGTAAAATGCAGGATATGTTCTGATTCCTCCACTGTGAATATTAAGTCCCTGAGATATGAGTCCTGGTGTGGCACTGTGGGTTAATGTGCCAGACTGCAAAGCTGTTTGAACTGCAAGGTCGGTGGTTCAAACTCACCAGTCACTCCTCAGAAACCCTATATAGGGTCGCTGTGGGTCGGAACCGACTCGCTGGCAATTAACAACAACAAGATAGGTTCAAGTTCTATCTTTCTTAACGTCTAAAAAAGAAACATTTTTATCAACTGAAAAATCACTATTCATAAGAGAAGGTCATGATGAATCTATTAGGAATAAAAGAATCCTTCAAATGAACTGGCTTTTCTTTTAGAAACTACAATTTCATTTCACTAGATACAGAATACACTAGTAACAGAAAACTTTAGGATTGGCAACTAATATTTCAAACTTTCTAGAAGCTTGAGAATGTTACCTTACTTAACCTTTCTTGTAGATTGTTGTTGTTGTTATGTGCCGTCGAGTGATTAGTATTGTAAAATATTTCACAGTAAAGACACAATCATCATTCTGAGTGCTTGTTATGTATCAACCACTGCCAACACAAAGGTAATTAAGAGACAGACCATAATTTCAAGGAGCATGTTGTCTACTAGCAAGGGAAAGAAAAACATGGACATGAAATACAGTAATACAGAAGCGTATTTCACTAGAGCTAGGTGAGGATCTTGTCGTCATGAGAAGGTGGGCAAGGATCTGACAATGTGACAGAGAAAGTCAGAGAGGTAACACAAAGGCTGGATTTTACATATTCTGATACCCTCCCATCGCTTCTTATCCCCCCAAATATTCTTCAATTACTGGTTTGTGTGAGATAGAAAGGATATTGAATAAACTAAGGGTATTAGTAATGATTTGTGGTATTCCATTGTTAAGGTCTCACCTCTGCTCTGTCTCTTCTTTTTTCCTTTTGGTCCTCCCACTGTGCAGCTAAAGGGGAAATCAAAGTATCCCACTTTGTTTTTTCTCTGGCGCATTGGCCCCTGGTGTAACAACAGACCCTACCTCATGCAAGATCCTACCACAGGCTCAGCAAGGCTAGATTTAAAAACGGACCAGCAGTGGCTAATAAGGGTGTATGTAACGAAACTTCTTCCTGTATACTCATTTCTATATTTAACTTTTAAAAAATGCAACCTACTTTTCTGTATGAAAACTGCAAAAACGTGTACATATTCTATCAGGTCTTGCTCTGAATGTAAAACGTTTCCTCCCCCAAAACATATTTGTAGGGTAAGAGTTATTATATGAAACAAAAAATAAATGTTTATGTAAAAATGTCTTTAGGAAAAAAAAAGGATAGAAGGCACTATTAAGAAATTAAACTTTAGAAGGAAATGAAAAATAAATCACAAATGCACTTACCAAATTGCATGCCCCAATCTCCAAGGTAGTTTATTCTTGTTACTTGATGTCCTAAAGCTGCTTTGAGATTTGCTATAAAATTGCCTAGGAATCAATAAAATATACAGTGATCAGTTTTGGCAGAAGAACCATGTACATCTCTATTATTAAAGCACAACATGGTTAATCGTTTTCACAAAATTTACTAACTCAATCTTTTTTTTACTAGACCATCCCTAATACAGCTTTCAAATACGGTGTGGAATGGGAATAAGGAATTACTTTTGGTATAGTTATTTCAAGGCGTTTCCCAATTTTCATAAGAATAGAATTTTCACCAATATTAGTAAGACTTGGGAACACAGGTCTGAGTAACTACTATTCCAAGTCAATTCTGAGGGGAAAAAATACACACACACAAACAAACAAAAACAGAACCTCAGTATTTAATAAGAAATAGATAATTTGTCTGTGCTTTCAAGAACCGGAGCCACATTGGTTTTTTTCTAAATAGCTTGTTCTACACCTCCTTTCAGTCACTGAAGTCCATCCTCTGCAAACCTGCTTCCTAGCAAACAGCATACAGTAGTCTAAGGCCTTCTCGTTCCTGTACTGCCTGTGGTGGTTTTGTTATTGAACAGCTTTCATATCCTACTGCAGGCAGAAATCTACAAATTACATTTTCTCCACTCTTTTGCAGTTGAAAGTTCTAGAAGGCATTTAAGTATAGTTAATCAGATATACTTTATGTGAGATTTAGGAGTTAGAAGTGGAAATATGCCTATTACTTTCTGATAAGCACAGTTGTGGATGCTTTTGTTTTTTGTAGCATCATTAATGGAGGACCTAGTGTCCTGTCACAACCTCCCAGAGTACTAAAAGACAGGACGTGGGCTGTATGAGTCCTAGAAGGCCTGGCAGAAGAGCAGAAGCTCCCTAGCTGGTCAGTTTCTGTTGTGTAATTTTGGGAATCATTTATGTCAGCTTAATACAAAGTTTCATCAGCTTTCTCAACAGCTTTGTAAACCATTCCATTTCCTATAATAAACTCCTTTCTGCTTTATCTAAAAGAAGATTTCATTTCCACCACTAGATTTTGACCGATACACATACCTGGCTTAAATTACTACAGCTACCTGGTGTGTGCTTGCTATAGGATAAGTACTGGACAGTGTGAACCACAAGGGTGGTGGTTCAAACCCACCAGCTGCTCCTAGGAAACCCTGTACAGAGTCAGTATGAGTCGGAATCGACTCCATGGTACTTAACAACAATACCACCTGCTTTTTCAGCTTCCCAACTTCTTGACTTTTCATCTATACAGAATCAGAAACAAGACTCAATTTTTCTTTAGCTGGCCACTCAAACTGTATTCCTTTTTCTTAGTGTTTTATTATTTTACAATCCAATTAAATGTTTGAACCTAGTAGGCTTTTGGAATTGCCTACGTGTAAAATGCTCTTGGGTAAGTTACTTGTAGTATCTGTTTTCTCATCCACAGGTGGTGGTGTTAAGTGCCATGGAGTCGATTTTGAGTCACAGTGACCCTCTATAGGGTTTCCTAGGAGCAGCTGGTGGGTTTGAACTGCCAACTTTGTGGTCTGCAGTCCAGTACTTATCCTACAGCACCCAACCTACCTAACAGGGCTGTAAGGAGCTCTGGTAGTGTAGTAGTTACAAGTTGGGCTGCTAACCTCAAGATCAGTAGTTTGAAATGACCAGCTGTTCTGCAGGGGAGGAGGTTTTCTGCTCCGGTGAAGATTTACAGCCTCCGAAACCCTATATAAGGTCACTATGAGTCGGAACTCATTCCAAGGCACAAAACCAAACAAAAGAGCTGTTTTTTAAGTTACAGGAGATATTGCATGGTAGTAGAGTATACTGTTCTTAATAAATGTTCTCTCTTCCTGGTACAGTTAGACAGCTTTATCATGTCCTACCTGTGATTTAAGAAGCCCAGGTAGTACACTGGTGAAGTGCTTGGCTGCTAACCAAAAGGTTAGTGATTTGAAGCTACCTACTAGCTCCATGGGAGAAAGACCTAGTGATCTGTTTCTACAAAGATTATAGGAAACCCTGTTTTACTCTGTCATACTGGATCACTATGTGTCAGAACGGAATTGGTAGAACCTAACAACAATGGACTCGTGGTGTGGCGCTGTAGGATAAGCACTGGACCACAAGGTCTGTTTGAACCACAAGGTCTATGTTTCAAACTTACCAGTCACTCCTCAGAAACCCTATACAGGGTCACTATGAGTCGGAATAGACTCAGTGGCACTTAACAACAACCACAACAATAACCCATCATTTACTCACTCCTGTACTTTTTACATATTCATGTTGGTTTTCATTTATAGAATAACATCACCACTTTTTTTCATCAAGCTTTGTTCTTTCCTCTCTTAAATAATGCTTGAGAACTCTGTAACCATAGCACTGATCTCAGTTCATTAATAATCTATGCTACCAAGTACAGATCTCTCCAATTCTTAAAAGCATATTCAAAGTTAAATGGCATTCTCTTAAGTATGCAATATACAGATTCCTTACAAATGGAAGACAGATTATATGACATGACCTCCAAAGTCTCTTCCAATTCTAACATTGTAAAATTATAATTTCAGTATTTAAATTGGGCTACTGCATAATGCACATGTTTTAAATAAATGAAAGCTATATACATACTGTATACACTGAAGCATTACAGCTATGAAGTACTATAGTAATCAGTCTTTATTAGAATATCCTCATTTCAATTTCTAGTCTTGAACATGCCACCTAATATTCACATGACTGAGACTGAATTTCCTTTCTATTATAAAATATAATTTTAAAACAGGGGTAACTCTATAATGATTTCAATAATAACATAACTATTTCCACTTTTATATCTTTCAGCTCTTCTCCATATGTATACTTATATTTATAAAGATAAGATCATAGCATACATGCCAGTTAAAATGGGTTATTTCATTTAATCTTTTGGTTTCTAAACAAATTTTTAAAAATTATTTCTAAATCATTTTTTCCTACTTCATGTAGTATTTAGTTAGCATCAGGATCACATCACTTTGATGATTTTTGTGTATTTATTTATGTCAATTAAGTATTAAACCATTAGACTATATTATCAAATAGTACCCAAAGCATGTTTAATATTTTCTGTGAAACTAATGACACTTACCTATGATGGTAGAACGCAAATGTCCAACATGAAATTTTTTGGCAATATTAGGTGAACTGCAACAAAATGCAAAAGTTACCTTTCTGCTATAATAACAAAAATTCTAAAAATTAACTAGGTCACACATCCACAATTTAACCTAATTAAGGCCAAGGTCTTTGGTAATTTAGGGCAAAGAAATGTTAAAAATCAGAAATTTAGAGTAAATATAAGATAGAGCAAAGAATCCTCTTTAGTGAAATTGATCCTGTGAGTCATGAGTATGTATCATATACAGAAGTGATATACTTATGAAGCAGGTACACTGAAATATTAACATAAAGATAAAGTAATTTGGAAATACTGTTTTAATGTAAACAATGTAGATTATAGGAAACTAAGTTTACTGCAATGGTTCTAAAACCTTCTACTTTCAAAATTACTGAGGATCCCAAGGACAAAACCTAACAAACACCTATTAATGCTTATTATATCAGAAATTAAAATACAAAAATATAATATTTATGTACAAAACTTCTCAAAATAATGAAGAATCTGATTCATCACTGTAACTACTCAAGCAACATATGAATCACTTTTGTGTATGTCTTGAGAAGTAATAATAGTCAATAATAAGGTAGCTTCACTGCCATACAGGTGAAATTCCATGTATTCTACATGTACTAACTCATTTCATATTCAGAGGATCTATGAGGAAGATGTTCATCTCTATTTCATAGATGCAGAAACGGAGACAAAAAAGATGATGAAGCAAATGTGGCAAAAGTTTCATGACTCAAATCTGGATGATAAGCAAATAGTGGTTAACCAACCATACTACTCTCTCTGCTTTGTGTGCATATGAAAATTTCATAAGGTTTTCAATGTTAAAAAAGATACATAAACCTGAGTATAGTTAATTAAAAGCGGTAAAGTTAGAGCTTAAATTTTGATCAGTCTGACTCTAAAACCTTGTTTTAGCCTTATTTTACAGATTATTTATGTATCTGTGGAATAATGAAGTTACAGTGATGGTCATGGAATCGTTTAGAAAAAAAGTAAGTGTCTTACTAAATGATTATGTAATAAATATTCTTCACTACTAGCCAAGACAGAACAATTGGAACTGGATTTACCCTTCTGCCTTAAATAACTAGAAAACCAAAAATATACAAGAAACATAGGTTTTTAGACACTAGATTGTTGTTGTACTAGATAGCAGGCACTAAAAACTGTGATCCTTCACTGGTTTTCAGTTTTTCCATGAAACCCCAGTAGGTAATGAAAACATACTCATCTGTCTAGCCAACTTGATTAACCAACACAGAAGACAGGAGTCCTGGTGTGGCGATGTAGGATAAGCACTGACTGCTTACCACAAGGTTAGTAGTTCAAACCCACTAGCTGCTCATCAGAAACACTATACAGTGTCACTATGAGTCAGGTGCAGATTGACGACACTTAACAACAACAACAAGATGGATAGGTACTCACCTGAATTCAACCACTATCTTCTTATGGGGAAAACCAAAGAAAAGCTCACTTTTTAATCCATATTTTGGGCCATCTTCAATTACTTTTTGTAACACTGTCTGAAAACCAAAAGGCATGAGGCTGAGTGATAAAAAAGAATTTTCAATTTTCTTAATTACTTTGTTACTGGAAATGAAATGTTAATTTGCTAATAAAGCATCAGTGAAAAAGAGGAAGATCCTCAATGAGATGGATGGGTACAGTGACTGCAACAATGGGCTCAAACATCAATTGGGAGGACGGCCCAGAGCGAGGCAGTATTTCATTCGTTTGTACACAAGGTTGCTGTGCATCAGAACTGACTTCATGGCTCCCAAGAGCAACAACAATTTGCTAATGATAGTTTACAGAATTGAAAATTTTATAGCAATGAAAGCAGCACCCCCCCCACACCTTTTCCTGTTAATAATGCTAGTCAGAGTAGCAATAACATGAGTTAACATCTATGGGGGTCCTGGGCCCTTTTACACATCATGTCTATTAATATAACAACTAATGCTGTAGATATTTTGCAAGTGAAGAAACTGAAGCTTAGAGAGGCCAAGTAACTGTGAAAAGTCCCATAGGAAAAATGAAAACCAGAAGCAGCATGCTAACTACAACATGTTGCTGCTGCTTTGGTAATATGCTTTGGAGTTCTGGTGTGGTACTGTAGAATAAGCACTGGAATGTTAACTGCAAGATTAACAGTTCAAACCCACCAGTTGCTATTCAGAATCCATATACTGGATTGCTATGAGTTGGAATCGACTCGACGGCACTTAACAACAACAAAGGTTACAAGTAATGGTGAAGGCAGTTAAAAACTATAATACAAATGCTATTGGTCACTCAACTAAAAAACAAGAAATATCACAAAAACTTCTGAAAAATACTCTAGGTTTTTAGTTATTAATTTGTTATCTAGCTCCTACTTCAATATTCCATTCTGACCTAGTAGGCAATCTTTCACAAACAGCCTGCTTACTTTACTCTGAGAATTATCCACATTAAGACATTTTAAGACACTCTTAGTGAACTAAGATTAGGAGAGAACACTTCACTCTTAGTGAATTTAGGATTAGGAGAGAGCATCTTGATTGTATCTTGATTATATCAGGATTATATCAAGATTGACATCGAAATTTAAAGAGACAGTATAGACATAAAACCAAACGGCCACCACTCATCTGTCTGTCGTGCTATGGTGGTTTGGGTTGCTGTGATTCTGAGGGCTATGCCACCGGTGTTTTAAATAATCAGCAGGGTCACCCATGGTGGACAGGTTTCAGATGA